TAAAACAGTATCATATCATAGCAGTGACAGGCAGCAATAATAAAGCTGTTACAGGCAGTTCTTTATGCACAATTTTAAAATAACAATAGAAGTTGGACTTTTGACTGACTTCCCTAAAAAAAAAAATCTTGATCGCTTGGAAATATAACAGCTTTGGAACTACGTATTTACATAACTGTACAAGACCATTTTTTTTAATCTTTAGTTGGGAAACAGAACTATACTTTTGAATATAAACTCCTTTAAGTCAGTATTTAGGACTTGGGCATCTAACCTTTTTTGCTATAGCCACAGTGATATACATCAACGTTTTAGTTTGTTCCACTTCCTGATTTTGTCCGTACTTCTTCTGTAAGCTATGTAGACTGCACCCTCTTAGAGACTGCTTTTACATATGGATACAGGAAAGAGATTGAAATGCATTTATATCTTTGGCCCTTTGGGTTAACTGTGCCGTCTGTGGTCACTGAGGAATGCCAGACCTGCCTCAGGTAGCTACTTGTTGTAAAAAACATATATTGTCTTTTGTAATACAGAGCTCAGACAGGCATATACATGCGGGAGAGCTTATCAATTCACATATATAGAATTGCTTGTAAATAAAATACAGTAACCTGAAGATGGAGCTAACTGAAGATTAAGAAGCTCGTATATAGTCGAGATTATTATAAACACAACATTGATGCACTGACTTCAGAAGGACCAGCTAAAGACCAATTCCTGGTGAGACTCCATCCCCGTCTGTTTTAATTGAGTGTAGTTTCTATAATAACCCATGCAATTCCAGTAAAGCAGGCAGTAGAAAAAAGCAACTCAAAATTATTTTGGAAATGAGCCATTACTCTGTAATTCTCCAACTGAATCCCACACCCTCCATGCCACTCTGCAAATTGCCAAAGTCACCTATGCATCCAGGTTGGAGAAGCAGCAGGCTATTAATTCAGTGCTGTTTCTCTTGCTAAGTCTACTGCAGCTGCAAATCCACTATGGAAAACTTCTCCCCACTCCTGGATTCATTAGTATGCTGCTCTTCTTTAAATGTCAGCAGCAGAACATGTAGTATATGATGAGTTTAGAGAGCATTTCAGAGAGTGAACCAAAATGAGCCATCACAAGTGGCATGTGCATTGCTCTGAGTGTCACAAATATTCATTATAGCACCAGTCCTCTAAATATCTCCTTGCAAGCTTTAATGACACAGGGGTACACCAGCATAATTATGCAGCATACTTTGCTGCAACCGCTTCATTTTAATCCCTTATATCTCTTAATCTCATGTCATATCATCTGGGCTTTGGGGCAGCTTCCCACTCTTTGATGTTTTGGGGATATAGAATATTTTTTTCAGTACTGCAAATTTAACTGAAATTCATAGCACCTCAGTGGGATACCGGAGCTGCCCAAAATTATTCCTGGATGAGGAATTCTCCTATTTCATTCACACTAACCTCATTGACATTATTGCCACTGACCTCCCCAGGAGTTGTAGGCTGTTGTAGTCTAAAGAAACAACTAGTGCACAGTTATCAAGCCAGTGTACAACCTTGAGGTCAAGGGTATCACAGACACATAACCCAGAAAGACCACCAAAAAATTTTATTCTGCAGAATACGATCCTCAAAACATCTGGACCTTCTGTAGCAGATTTTAGACCTTGAGTGCTAACACGTCAAAAGCACGAGAAGCAGAAAACATCACAATGCCCAAACAAAACAAGTGTTATGCACTGGAGTGGGGGAGGTTAAGTGTTTTCTTGCAGGGAAGAGGATGAAACACAGCTGACTTTGGAGAACTAAACAAACATCTCTGGGACAGATTGTGGTTGCCCTCTGGGCAGCTGCCAGGCAAAGCAAAGTACTCCCCATACGGATGGGCCTGCTTTACTAACAGGAGACCATGGAAATTAGGGTGGCTGTTCATTGAATAAATGAGCTTCTTATCTCCAGCATAAGCAGCCTGGCATACGGTGACTGATGAAGGTGCACAATAGTTACGTGAGCTCCAGTTATCCTTGGGATTTATATATCTGTGGACTGTAAAGCCAAAAAGGATTATCACCACTGTGGTGCAGGCCACGAGTCTCCTCTAGTTTTAAATAAACCTTGCCTTTAAGGATGACATTTGACCTTGCCTTTCACGCTGCCCTTGGGGGAAAGCCTCCACCACTACTTAGCACATCATTCCAACCTTCAGAAATAACCTGCTAACTGTACACCCCTTACTTCAGCCTGGCTTTGACTCCAACAGGCCAAATACTCTTTAGCAGGTGACAGCATTCTCATCCTCCCTTCACCTTTAAGCTTCCAGATGTAGTATTAGGTTCAGTTTACAGAGATTTTTCCCCTGCAGGGAGCATGGAGAAAAAAACTACTTGTTAAATGGATTTTTGCAACTCAGACACTTCATTCTCCTCAGGAGCTGTGGTGCCAGGTGAGCCTCAAGTGGCCAGATGAGGTCCTTCCTACATAGCCAAACTCCTAAACGTCACTCACTCAGAGAATAAAATAGTACAAGGAGCAGTAATGCAATTTCTTGCCTTTCTTTGTCAATAGGGAAACACTTTGGTGAATTCTAACTAAAAATTCGTTGTTGTATGCCTTGCTACTCATAAAAGCAAGTTCTCAGTAGTCACAAGCTTCCAGTATTTGCCTGTAACAACTGTTCAGCAACCAAAAAGTCCCCAAGAAGTATCTTCCAAACAACCACCATGTGCAGGTTGTGTCCCACATTTAATCTCTACTTAATTACAGTAAATTCCTAACTCTTATACAAGTCCCCACCTTTTGAAGATGGGAAAAACAAGGCAAGGAGAAAAAAAGACATCTGTTCAAAGCCTTATGCACATCAGATCAAGAAGCACACCGGGGAACCCAATGCCAGTGCATGGGGAGGGCTGGCTGGTCCCTAAAGGATAAGGAGCTACAGGGCATATCCAGGTCAGCAGGATATAGGCCTCACCTACCAGCAGCAGAAATGGTGACCAGGTCCAACCAAAATGGTGTATTGCAGTGATAAGGCAGGTCCCAGGTCCAGTTAGGAAGTCAATCCACAGACCAGGATCAGATCCAGTGATTGCCAGGGCAGGTCCATAGTGATAACACCGGGCAGAGAACAAGCCTGTGAGTTGAGGCCAAGACCAAGGAGCTCCATGGCCAAACTTCTTTGGCTGAGCTCAAAACCTACAACGTCCTCCTCTTCCAACAGTGCTCAAGGAGAGAGCAACAGGCCCAGGCTGAGCTTAAATAGACTCCCTGAGGCCAGGGCTGGGGGTGGAGGCCCCAGGTGAGGCTGTTTGCTGCCATTAAGGCATGTTAGTGCCCTCAGGACCCTGACGAGTACCCTCCTTCAAGCTGTGTCTGTTACGTGCCTGGGGAAGAGCGTGGCCACCTGGGTTACTGCTGATGAGAGGGAGCAGAGTAGCTGTGTTTGTTTCACTGACAGCTGAGCTGTGTATGGCTGGTCCCTCCACGCTCGGTGCCAGGGGGGACATGCTGCAGGAGACAGAGCTTTCTGCAGACATGCCACATCAGGTCCTCAGGTCCTCTGGTGGTGTACATTACCGTAGCTCCAGTGCTGGTTTAGGGTTTGTTTCACTGACCACTGAGCTGTGTATGGCTGGTCCCTCCACGCTCGGTGCCAGGGGGACATGCTGTAGGAGACAGAGCTTGCTGCAGACGTGCCACGTCAGGTCCTCTGGTGGTGTTCATTAGTGTAGCTCCAGTGCTATTTTAGGAATGATGAAGGCTTCAGCATTTTGAATTCTTTTCCACTGCATCAACCTCTTTGTGGAAAAGTAAGGGAAGATTGGTGAGGAGGACTGTAAATACGCTCAAATGACTCGCGTGTGGGGTGCTGGAAACACAGCTATCACACTAATAGTGACTTGCGTGTAGGGTGCTGGAAAACACAGCTATCGCACTAATTTTTTCTTAGTTTTGTGTGCTCAACAAGTAGAACATCTGCATTTAGATAACACAGGCCTGGGATGGATTCAGGGGCACCTTATCAAACACACCTGAGGTTCCCCAATCCATGAGGTATTGAGATTAAATTTATTCTTTGCCCTTAATCCATGGTTTTGTGGTTATTCCTGTGTCCTGCCTGCATCGGAGGTGAAAGGCAGAGGGAAGGGAGGAGGGGCCGAGACAGACTCTGCGTGTCCTTGGGTGCTTTACTTCATGTGCCACAGGTTCTGCACATCACAGAGCACCAGGGAAATTACACACGCAGTTATATGAAGGATAAGAGCAGTCAAAAGAGATACGTGAGGCTGATTTGGGCTATATTTTTTGATCTTCCTGCTTTGAAGTCAATGAGTCCCAGCTGCAGCTTATAAAGTTAGCCACATAAGATGCAATTGCCCCTGAAGATCTATGGTGGC